TTTGGCCGGTAGCGGCAAAAATTGCGATTTTTGCCCGCCAGCTGCGAAAATCGCATGGTTTTTGGCCGCTAGCGGCGAAAATCGCACGGTTTTTGGCCGCTAGCGGCGAAAATCGCACGGTTTTTGGCCGCTAGCGGCGAAAATCGCGCTATTTTTGGGCGGTAGCGGCGAAAATCGCGATTTTTGCCCGCCAGCTGCGAAAATCGCATGGTTTTTGGCCGCTAGCGGCGAAAATCGCGCGGTTTTTGGTCGGTAGCGGCGAAAATCGCGCTATTTTTGCCCGCCAGCTGCAAAAATCGCTTAGTTTTTGGCCGCTAGCGGCGAAAATCGCGCGATTTTTGGCCGCTAGCGGCGAAAATCGCGCGATTTTTGGCCGCTAGCGGCGAAATTTGCAAGTTTTTTGGCCGCTAACGGCGAAATTTGCACGATTTTTGGCCGCTAGCGTTGAAAATCGCCCCATTTTTGGCCGCTAGCGGAGAAAATAGCCCCTTTTTTGGCCGCTAGCGGCTAAAATCGGTCGATTTTTGGCAGGTAGCGGCGAAAATCGCGCTATTTTTGCCCGCCAGATGCAAAAATCGCATAGTTTCTGGCCGCTAGCGGCGAAAATCGCGCGATTTTTCGCCGCTAGCGTTGAAAATCGCCCCCTTTTTGGCCGCTAGCGGCGAAAATTGCCTCTTTTTTGGCCGCTAGCGTCGAAAATAGCGCGGTTTTCGGTTATTAGCGGCAAAAATCGCCCGATTTTTGGCCGCTAGCGGCGACAATCACACGGTTTAAAACCGCTAGCGGCGAAAATCGCGCTATTTTTGGCCGGTAGCGGCAAAATCGCGATTTTTGCCCGCCAGCTGCGAAAATCGCATGGTTTTTGGCCGCTAGCGGCGAAAATCGCGCGGTTTTTGGCCTGTAGCGGCGAAAATTGCGCTAATTTTGCCCGCCAGCTGCAAAAATCGCATAGTTTTTGGCCGGTAGCGGTAAAAATCGCGCGATTTTTGGCCGCTAGCGGCGAAATTCGCACGATTTTTGGCCGCTAGCGGCGAAATTTGCACGATTTTTGGCCGCTAGCGACTTAAAATCGCACGATTTTTGCCCGCCAGCTGTGAAAATCGCACGGTTTTTGGCCGCTAGCGGCGAAAATCACGCGGTTTTTGGCCGGTAGCGGTGAAAATCACGCGATTTTTGCCCACCAGCTGCGAGAATCGCATGATTTTTGGAAGCTAGCGGCGAAAATCGCGCGGTTTTTGGCCGGTAGCGGCGAAAATCGCGCTATTTTTGCCCACCAGCTGCAAAAATCGCATAGTTTTTGGCCGCTAGCGGCGAAAATCGCGCGATTTTTGGCAGGTAGCGGCGAAATTCGCGCGATTTTTGCCCGCCAGCTGCAAAAATCGCATGGTTTCTGGCCGCTAGCGTCGAAAATAGCGCGGTTTTCGGCCGTTAGCGGCGAAAATCACATAGTTTCTGGCCGCTAGCGGCGAAAATCGCGCGATTTTTGGCCGCTAGCGGCGAAATTCACACGATTTTTGGCCGCTAGCGGCGAAAATCGCGAGGTTTTTGGCCGCTAGCGGGGAAAATCGCGCGATTTTTGGCCGGTAGCGACGAAAATCGCACGATTTTTGGCCGCCAGCTGCGAAAATCGCACGGTTTTTGGCCGCTAGCGGCCAAAAATCGTGCGATTTTCGTCGCTACCGGCCAAAAATCGCGCGATTTTCCCCGCTAGCGGCCAAAAACCGCGCGATTTTCGCCGCTAGCGGCCAAAAATCGTGGAAATTTCGCCGCTAGCGGCCAAAAATCACGCGATTTTCGCGCGACAGTTAACAGTTCCAGTATACAGGTGGTTACTGAAAAGAGAAAGATCATTAACATTAACACCAACATTCATCGCGATTTTCGCTGCTAGCGGCCAAAAACCGTGCGATTTTCGCCGCTACCGGCCAAAAATCGCGCGATTTTTGCCGGTAAAGGGCAAAAATCGGGCGAATTTCGCCGCTGTAGGGCAAAAATCGGGCGATTTTCGCCGCTAGCGGCAAAAATCCACGTTCAATAACGTTTCGGTAAGTGCAATAATATCTTTTTTTCTGTACAGACAAGAGCATTTAACTCGTTTACTTTGTGTCCTAGACTTCTACTGTTAGTGTAATATACCCTAAGTGATTTGTTATTTTGAGGCCCTTCTCTTTCCCTGATCATTTTGCCAATTTGTTTCTCCAACAAACACATACTTTTATTACCTCCTTCCTCCCTATCAATTCCCATACCACTATCTACTAACAGTTTAAACCCAAACAAATGCCTCTAACCACTGGTTCCAATGAGTTTGCAACAGCAACAACCCCAGCCCTCGATACCCCATCACGAGCATACATTTCACTTCTTCCATAGAAGTGTTCCCAGTTGTCTATGAAAGATAATGCGTTTGATTTGCAATATCTTTCCAGCCGGCAATTGACACAAAGTGCCCTCGAAAACCATTCATTCCCAACGCTCTTTCTTGGAAGAATGCCATATATCATCGGGATTCTTCCCTTGCTCCTAACTAATTCTATGGCTTTGTTAAATTTCTGTATCAGTACACATTGAAGCGATGTGTCACCACAGCACCAAACCTAGCTGGCAAACTCGGAACACAGTTCCTGCTCCGGGAAATCCACCGGCACACCGTGCATACTCACAAAAGTCAGCGGGCCCCATGGATCCGTCCCCTGCACAGTCACAGCAGAAGCAGGTAGCGTAAACGACTCGTCAGTGTAGCGGCGTACAAAATCCAGGTAGCCGGCTGACGTGGCAAATTTCACCGCCACACGCATATACGTAAGTTTCTCCAGGCCTAGAAGATCGGCGACCTTCACATCCAAAACATCCAGTAACGCGACTAATACGAGAAGCCAATCCACAGGAGCTGAGAAAGCAAGCCCCACAGTATCTACACGGCGAATCGGCCTACTCCCAGGCGCCACCATGCCGCCAGCTAACACGCCGGTCAGCGGCCGCACCACGCCCTCGCAGCTCCCAACAACTACTGGTTTGATTGTTGCCGTGGAAGGCGGCGAGTTTATTGTGCACCCCATACTCATCCTGTGAGCGGTAGCGCAAAAGCATTACAGAGGGCACAAAAGGTCTTTATCAGACCTCATCTTAGATTATTACATAAACAATTTCTTCAGTCCTTCACACCTTATAGATACAATGTCAGTGCCCCCTCCAGTGGCGAGGCCTGAACTCCACGGTACTCTACCTTGTACTGTAGTGTACTGTACGGTACTGTACTGTTCTCTATTGTACTGTACAGTACTGTGCCCTTGACTGTACTGTATCGTACGGTACTGTACTGTATTGTAATGTATACAGTACAGTATACTGTAGTGTATCGTACCGTATGGAACTGTACTGTATGGTACTGTACTATGCTGTACTGTGTTGTACTGTACATACAGCTTGAATAAGTAATCTTATTATTTAATAATTATAATAATACTTATTTAATAATAAGTATTCGAAAATCATCATTTGTGAGTGTAATGTAAAACATTAAATTTATTTATTTATATACAAGAAGGTACATTGGGTTTGTGAGAATACATAGCATAGTACAGTAAATACACTCTTGTAAAGCCACTAGTACGCGCAGCGTTTCGGGCAGGTCCTTAATCTAACATAATTTTAAGTAGGTAAATTGTATCAAAATTAATAATTTCTCATCCATTTGGTACATGTATGTTTCTCATACTTTGGGTATACATTTGAGTTTATATATTTCAGTTTCAAAAAATAACTCTCATGAATTACTAAGGTATCCAATTACGTCGAGCCGACGTAATTACAGTACAGCTTGCGGCAATGTGACGTCAACTGAAAATGAGAAACGTGATTGGCTATTGAGTCCACCTGCTCATTGAGGCGCAACGGAACGTTATTTTGCCCCTAGAATTAGCTGAGTAGAGGTGTACAGGTTAGTGTTAGGGCGTTTTGTTACTCTGAGCTGGTACCCCGTTACCCTTTGGGGTCGCTAGGGCTGACAGACCCCTAGGTTACACTGTCAATCTGTACACCGTCAAAACGCACATAGGGGCAAAAATATCTATTTTATAGCTGGCGTATATACCCCCTGTTGGGTGGTATATATACAGCGAGATTTTTTTGTCCTGACCCATAATCAGTACTAAAATATATTTATAAATGTTTACGTACTGTATTGATTTGTAACATTGTATTGTATTTTTTTCCCCAGCAGTCTTGAAGCTCCAATCTCCCTGAGATATGAACGTGGTCATGGGACCACTGGTGGACCGATGATTCCAGTCATACCCTGCTGAGCAGAAGCTGGTGGCAGATGTTCCAGTTGTGCGAGATGTGCTACTTGAGTTACCAAGGTATGATGGGCCTATCCGGCACAAGGGAAATAAAGTTAGAGGCATAGTAATATTGTATTAGGATACACTAATAACACCTTATTTTAAGTCATATTTTGCCCAAACCCCCCTGCAGTTTTCAAAATGTCTGAAATGTCGGAAATTTGACTCCTGAGCGTGATTTTTGAGCCGAATTCTGACTCTCTGCACTTATTTTCAGTTTCAAATTACGACGTTTCATACTGAAAATATGCCAATTTTCTGATCAGGGGGAGAAAGATACTGGCAGTATGGGGCTTTAAATTTATTGAAGATTAAATTCTGCAGAACATGTAAATATATAAAGTTTCAAATATATAAAGTTTATATTAAAATATATAAAGTAAGAATTAACAGTAACAATTCCAAGTCCGAGGACTAGATTTAACTTAAAAGGTACACCCGTAGTAAGTAGGAGACCTTAGCCTATAGTGACATGGAAACTAATTCTGCAGAAACCTAAAGGTTAACTGGTACTAGAATTAAGGCCGAGTGCAAATGTGTAGTAATTATATAACACTAGGATATAACAGGCAGGACACAAAGAATAACTAATAAGTGAGAGACCACATAACACGTAATGTACCCGGCCAAGAGGCCGTAAAAGACCTAATGAATAAGGAGAAGGGGGTGTGACTACAAGTAGGGCTTACTAGCACCTAGACTGGGCAAAGTATTAGCTGCGGACAGCGGGACGCTTGGGGACCGGCGCTGCACCCCCACCGCAGGCCAGCGGCCTGGCCTGCGTTGTGTCACTGTGCCACCCGTTGCTTTGTCCGAATTGTCCAGCTGAGGTGTGCGCCCGGTGTCCGTGTCCGAGCCAGCCGAGGAGGGCTCTGTAGAGGGGGAGGCAAAGCGTGCGGGCTTGGTCCGCGCCCTGGCCGGCTGTGTCCGTGCTCCACTACGTTGCTGTCCTCACGTTGACGTCGTCCGTGCCCTCTTCCGTGTTGCAGATGTTGGGTGGTCCGGCTTCTCGCCACTGCGGAAAGAGGGAACGTTAGTGACAGCCTGACTAACCTGGCGACAGGCAGGGGGGGAATAAACCCGGCTGCCGCGCCTGCTAGCATAACATACGCCGCCCCAACTAACAGTAATTAAGACACGTTGCCGGGGATAAAACAGAAACCTGCAGGCACGAAGGAGGGGGGGGGGAGGTAAGACAAGCAGACGTAGGAGGAACCAAGGAGACGTTTCCCACAGGCGTGCCCGCACGGCTCGGGGGGGGGGGGCGGAAATAACAGTGGGCCGAAGAGAAGATGACGTCGCCGAGGCGCGCTGGACGGCACACAACCCGGTCTGAGAGGGACAAGGCCCTAAAGCGAGAGGCGATAACGTAGAATGGGATGGAAGAATGCGGAAGTAAGAGGGCGAGACCGAGTAAACAGGGAACCAGGGGGGGGGGGGGGCAACCGATAAGCCGCGGCTCGCGCACCGCTGGCCATACCTAAACATACCTAGACAGGAAGGGGAGAAGCATAAAAGTAACCCAGCAGAAGAGGCAAGCAGCTGTCAAAGCATAGCCGGCAGGAGGCGAATGACTGGGGAAGGCTGACGAACAGGCCCCAATAACTTAAAGCAAGGGCAAGAGGCCCGTAACACAGCAACGAGCCCGACGCGCCGGAATTTACCCAAACCATAGAGGCAAAGCTCAGTAAACACCCGAAGGAGACCAAGGAAATATCTAGGCAACAGAAAGAAAGTTAACCAACCCAATGAAAAACCCCAGAGAAGGGGGGGGGGAAAGTAGCCTGAATAAACAAGCAAGAAGCAAGAGGCCCGCAACACCGATAGCAAGGCAAGCAGCAGACCTTACAGACGTAGTAGCAACAAGCGTAGTTAAACGACAGAGGAACCGGGGGAAGAACATAACTAACAGCGAGAGCTAGGCGTAAACGAGAATAAATGAAAGGAACCCAACAACTGCAGGGCCAGAAGCGTAAAGCTAGAGGCGAGTGCCCACAACTGCACCTCGCACATCCTGGCTGCCTTGAAAAACAACGGCGAAGGAAAGGGGACTACTAACTGTAGACATTGCCAAGGAAAAAACAAAAGATGACAGAAACAAAATAACGTAAGGCAAATATAACATTTCGCCCTATAGTAAAATTGTTTATAACAAACATAAAGGATGCACGACACAAATGTAACCAATTAAGTAACAGGGATTAAATAGTGGTAGGCGAATGGGACATTTCGCCCTATAATAAATAGATAACAAATTTATTGACAAACATAAAATGATGCACAGCACAAATGTTACCAAATAAGTAAGATGTAATAAATTGCGGTAGGCTAAATGGAACATTTCGCCCTAGAAATAATAAAACCATTTTTACATTAAGAAAACGGAGGAGAAGCATAACATAAATATAACCATATAAGTAACGTGAATAAACTGCAAGAACTAAGCGTAAACTACTGTGACTACCGATGAAACTAGGCAAAAGTGCAGGGCCAGGAAACGGGAAGCTAAAAGGGGGGGCCCGCGAATACTGCAAATAGCCCAGCCTGGCCGACTTTACTTAATAATTTACTTAGGAACTCTGCAAATAGCACATCCTGGCTGACTCTACTTAATAATTTACTTAGTAACTCTGCAAATACCACATCCTGGCTACACGTAACACGTAATGTACCCGGCCAAGAGGCCGTAAAAGACCTAATGAATAAGGAGAAGGGGGTGTGACTACAAGTAGGGCTTACTAGCACCTAGACTGGGCAAAGTATTAGCTGCGGACAGCGGGACACTTGGGGACCGGCGCTGCACCCCCCTTCCCACATGCAGTGGGGAGAAAAAGGGGGACAACTGTGCAAAGCATGACGGGGGTACAAAGACAGCCGCTTGCAAAGGGGAGGTGGGTGGGCTTTGCGAGGGCAGCGGCGGGGGCAGGCGGAGTGAGGGCAGAGCCCCTCTGTGCCCCCGTATTTATACGGCCCCAGACTGCCCGCGCAACGCCGCGGGACGCGCTGCGCAAATGTTTCTTTCTCCCCCATCAGAAACATCCCCGCTTTGCGAAGCAGTGGCCATTACTGTAAACGGCGATGGGTCATATTTTGCCCAAACCCCCCTGCAGTTTTCAAAATGTCTGAAATGTCGAAAATTTGACTCCTGAGCGTGATTTTTTATCCAAATTCTGACTCTCTGCACCTGTTTTCAGTTTCAAATTACGACTTTTTATACCGAAAATATGCCAATTACTGAAAACGGCGATGGGTCATATTTTGCCCAAACCCCCCTGCAGTTTTCAAAACGTCTGAAATGTCGGAAATTTGACTCCTGAGCGTGATTTTTGAGCCGAATTCTGACTCTCTGCACCTGTTTTCAGTTTCAAATTACGACTTTTCATACCGAAAATATGCCAATTACTGAAAACGACGATGGGTCATATTTTGCCCAAACCCCCCTGCAGTTTTTAAACACTTTGGCGCATTCCTGCAGACCGTCGTTTTCACCAATATTATTAATCACACCGCACGCGTGCCCCTCTCGGGAGTCACGAGCAAAAATATTTGTATAAAATCCATTTATTATCCGATCAACTTGGGAATAGTTTACAAATGTTTGCCATGTAATTTACGTTTTCTCTAACAGCCGAACAGCTTATTAAAGAAAACGGCGTGGCAGTGAATCATCGTGGTAAAACAATTGTATTATTGACACGAGTATAATCGACGTAGTTTTTATATATGTTGCCGGTCGAACGCATCCTTATGTGACCTTTAATACTTATGTTCTTATAGAACATTCTATTGCGAGCACATTGGTACAAAAATGAAATACATACATCGACAAATGTCAGGACAGTGAATTGAATATACACTTTTCAAAGCGAGTTTCGCCGATATGCCGCCGCGGGTAACACTTCGGCCACTTCCCACACTCTTTTGGGTGGGCTACGACATTGAATCTATATTTATATGCATATGTCCGTGTAGAGAATTTTATTGCGATTCCAATGATACCACAATTAGCGATGTAGGGCAACTGTAGGCTTCGCAACCATTAAGAGAGTGGAAACATTTTGTTGCTGTTTGGCGCTCTCGGCTAGTGATCTGAATAGTTTTTTATTTGGTGGTGTAAATCCTTATGCTTTGGCGGCATTTTATAGATATGTTCTTATAGACAATTTTATTGCGAACACAGTGATACCAAATTTAAATACGTGCGCCTTCAATTATTGTCAGGACAGTCAAATGAGTGTACACTTTTTCGGTCTTACCACAGGCGCGCGAAGCACCGAAAGCATCTGGGGTATGATTTTTTTTGAACGCTGAGAGCACGAAAGAGTTAAATTAATTAAAATGTTTGAAATGTCGGAAATTTGACTCCTGAGCGTGATTTTTGAGCCGAATTCTGACTCTCTGCACCTATTTTCAGTTTCAAATTACGACTTTTTATACCGAAAATATGCCAATTACTGAAAACGGCGATGGGTCATATTTTGCCCAAATCCCCCTGCAGTTTTCAAAATGTCTGAAATGTCGGAAATTTGACTCCTGAGCGTGATTTTTGAGCCGAATTCTGACTCTCTGCACCTATTTTCAGTTTCAAATTACGACTTTTTATACCGAAAATATGCCAATTACTGAAAACGGCGATGGGTTATATTTTGCCCAAACCCCCCTGCAGTTTTCAAAATATTCCAAACATCCCAAATTCGATACCTGAGCCATATTTTGGACCCAAATTCTGGCTCTCTGCACCTATTCGCAGTTTGAAATTCCGACTTTTTATACCAAAAATCTGCCAATTACTGAAAGCGGCGGTGGGTCACATTTTGCCCAAACCCCCCTGCAGTTTTCAAAATATTCCAAACATCCCAAATTCGATACCTGAACCATATTTTGGACCCAATTTCTGGCTCTCCGCATTTATTCGCAGTTTGAAATTCCGACATTTTATGCCAAAAATATGCCAATTACTTAAAGCGGCGGTGGGTCACATTTTGCCCAAACCCCCCCCTGCAGTTTTCAAAATATCCCAAATTCGATACCTGACCTGTAGGTGCAGAGAGCCAGAATTTGGGTCCAAAACATGGCTCAGGTATCGAATTCGGAGGATGGGTTGCAGCCATAATAATTGAAAACTAGCAACATTTGGCAACAATGTCTATAGTGTCTTACGCAATAACGCCAACTCGTGCTTCAGTCCTCATTATATCATGTTATTCTACTCTCCTAACGTAACAGAACAGAGAACCTTGAACACAACAGAGAACCTAGAACAGAACAGAGAACCTTGAACACAACAGAGAACCTTGAACACAACAGAGAACCTAGAACACAACAGAGAACCTAGAACACAACAGAGAACCTAGAACACAACAGAGAACCTAGAACACAACAGAGAACCTAGAACACAACAGAGAACCTTGAACACAACAGAGAACCTTGAACACAACAGAGAACCTTGAACACAACAGAGAACCTTGAACACAACAGAGAACCTAGAACACAACAGAGAACCTAGAACAGAGAAAAGAACAGAGAACCAAGAATAGAAGAGAGAACAGAACAGAGAACATTGAACAGAACAGAGAACACAATAGAAAATAGAACAGAACACTAAACAGAATAGAACAGAAAACAGAATAGAACAGAAACCAGAAAAGAGAACAGAACAGAGAATATAGAACTGATCAGGGAACAGAGAACGGAGCAGAACCGAACAGAGAACAGAAGAGAATAACATATATAACGTTATTCTCCCCAAAATGACTAATAATTAGAATTAAATGATGAGAATGTATTATTTACTACAAGATCTTAATTATTCAAGACGACTGATGACAACATCGCGTTAATGTATAAAATACTACTCTATATGTCAAGTTTATTATTTAATATCCGTTGCAGGGAGCATTCATTGCCCAAATCAAGTCAATAAATATAGGTTGGTGATGTTTAGAGAGGTAAATGAAGGGTTGCGAGGCTAATTAAGCAACTAGCAAGCTTGCAAGTTGACGAGCAATGGTTGGT